CGGAAGTCCAGAAGCGACGAGGAAACAGCGAAAGGCGAGAGGCGCGGCGGCGAGGGCAGGTGGCGAACAGAGCTAGCTGTCTGCTGATCCACAGCGTGGCCCTGCGCGGGGATTTATCAAGAGACAGCAGTTTAATCCAAAGCCGGGGATAAAACTTTGATTACTGAGTCCTTTTAAACATTCTCTCCACTGCTCAGTAGAGTTTTTGTTTTATTTATTTATTTTTGAGAAGCAGGCAAGGGTGACGCTTCCATGTGGCTCTGGGGAAGCTCAGGTGACTTCAAAGCTGAGGGCATTCCCCGTGCACACCGAGCGTGGCTGCAGGGGCCAAGACCTAGTAGAGCACCCACCACTCCACCTCATTTTATGGCCTCGCCTAGGGAGGAAAGGAAACTGGGAGCTGGGAAGAGGTTCCTAGCCGGCGGGTTGGGTCTCACCTCACGGTGCTGCTCTTTTCTTTCCTTTCCTCTCTGCCAAGGTGCTGCGTGAGGTCACCGCCTGCCTGCTAAGGGCCCTCATGAGTTGTCTCCTGCTTGATGGGAGAGAAAGATGAGGAAATTGATACTCTTAAGAGGGGAAGTGATTTGGTAGCTGGAATTTCTCCTCTTCCCCATGCCATTTGGGGACTGGAGCTAAACTCCAACGACCTGCCACTCACCTGTCATCTGAGCCACCAACACAAATCATCCTCAAAAACTTTGCAGTCTCCTTCAATTTATGCGTCTAGGATAAAAGGAAGACATTTCTTCTGAGATATTACCAATGCTTTTGCTCAAAACCCTTCATTTGCTCCTGAATTCTACCTGGACTGGCCTCTACCCCGCTATCTGCCTTCCTCCTATATTTCAGCCTTATTTCCTTAATGCTGTCTCCAAGGATCTAGCATTTTTTTTTTTTTGTAATTTTTTGTAATAGGGTCTCACTTTGTAGTTCAGGGTGGCCTTGATCTCACTGTGGAGGCCAGGCTGGTCTGGAATTCAAAACAATCCTCCTATCTCAGCCTGAGTTCTGGGATTACAGGCATGCACCACCACACCCAGCTCGCAGCTTGTTTTCTGCCTGTATTTTCCTCTTCCTGGAACTCCTGTTTTCCCCCTACACACATACAAAGCTCCATGCAGCCTGGGGACCTCTGCCAGTGAGATGTTTTTTCCAGTTCCTCCCCCTCTTGTTTGTACCACCTCTTGTTTGGATCCTTGCTTGCCTTTCTTTGTTTGCCCTCCTTCCACTTTATTATAGTTATTAGTGACACCTTTTGTTTCTGCTAAGAACTGTGCAAAGACAGGGGTTGTGTCTTTCCACAATGTACTCCTGCTGCTTCTTGGAAAGAGCGTTATAGAGATGACTGATAACTGAAAGAAAAAAGTGAATGAAGTATGAATGAATGAACAGAAAGATGAACACCTTGCCAATCCTGCTTCTGTTGTATATCATTCAGAATGGGGGCAGATGTGCTTCCCCCAGAGACTTCTTGACTCTGGAATTCCTTTCTTGCCTATGATTACTCATTTTACTACTATCCCTTCTTCCTTGTTTTCTTTTTCTTTTTTTTAACTTAGTGTTCCACTGGATGAATCATCACAGTGTCTCTCTTCATGCCAGACTGCTGTAGGGAAATAGATATGTTTTAAAATACACTAACTGAAGCTGGGAGTGATGGTGCCTGCCTGTAGTCCCGGTACTCAGGAGACGGAGGCAGGTGGATCACCAAGAGGCCAACCTAAGCTACATAGTGAGTTCAAGGCCAGTCCAAACTAAAGAGCAAGACCCCATCTCAAAACAAAACAAAACAAAACAAAAAAAACCCAAAAATAAATTTCAAAATGACACTAATTGAGCATTCTCCAGTTTGGGTGATTTCTCAATCCTTCACCTAGTTCCCTAGTCTTTCTCTCCCTCCTTAGCTCTGTACTTTGAAGCCCCAGAGGCCACCACAACCTCCTCCAGGAAGGACTGAGGGTCCCCCAGTACCTATAACCAGCCAGTGTGTCCATCAAATGGAGTCTGCACACATAGTGGCCTCTGTTAAGGTTTCAGAAGGGGAGAAAAAATGCTGCACAGCAGTGATGGATGGCTCTAGTCTATAGCCTATTGATCAGAAGATTTTTTTTTCCAGTATGTGTATTTAAATGAACAAAGAAAAAGAAAACTATAAGTTACTATGATTATCCATTTCTCAATGTGCAAGTTTGCTGGGAGGGTCATTTCAACTCTATCCTTTAATTAAAGCAGTGGTATGATTCCCTTTGGCCCAAGGAAGTTGTTACCAAAACCACTAATTTTTTCCACCAGGACCAATATAGCTGGAAACGCCAGCATACATCTTCTGTAAACAGATCCCAGGAGCAGCCTTCATTGTCTCCAGCTGGTGGATAGTTCAGCTTTATTACTTGGTTTCGGGTTATCATGGGGACAAAAGCAGGGTGGCTGACATTTATTGAGTCCACATTTCTAGTTGCCACACATCTTTGGTCTCATCTAATTCCTCACAACAACCCCATAAACAAGGTTGCCACTTCAGAAAGAGGAATGGAGGGCCAAAGAGGTTAGAGGTCACACAGCGAGTCTTCTAGATTCTAAAAGCCAGCAGCTTCACTGGGGTGTGGCCCATGTGCATCTTGTCGTTCATTCAGTAAATATTTGTTGAACACCTTGGAAGTGCCGGGGCCAGCCAAATTAAGCTCAAACGTTGTAGCCTGACATATCAGACTCTTCATAGTGGATCTCCTGATCCCAGCACTCTTTTCCAACACCATTTCCTGAATTTGTTCTCCCTCTCTCCCTCTCTCCCTTTTCCAGTACTGTGGGTTGAACTTGGGACTTTGCGCTTATGAGGCAGGTGGCGGAATTCCTGGCCCTGCTGAATTTGTTCTGCTTGCAGCGCCTGTTCAGTCCCCCAAGCTGAGTGATGCTCTGCAGGAGATGCCTTTCTTTTTTTGGTACCGGGGATCGAACTCGGGTCCTTGTGCTTGCAAGGCAGGCGTTGGAACCACTGAGCTAAATCCCCAGCCCCAGGAGATGCCTTTTGTGTCCCATGCTTCCTGTCCTTCACTCATGTGGACTTCTGCTGCAGCTTCAGTGGACAGTTCCCATGGGCAATAGGTCTCACCTCCAGCTCCTGTACCTCACTATTTGCCATTTTTCTGCCACGGAGCCTTTTATCAAAGTCACCAAGCTCTCAAGAGCAGTTCAGATGAAAACTTCCAAGGGGGACGTTAACCCTCTCGCAAAGGGATCCCACAGCAAGCAGATGCAGGCACATACTTGCTATCCCAGCTACTTAGGAGGCTGGGGCAGAGAGGTTGCAAGTTCAAGGCAAGCCTGGGCTAACAGTAAGACCTTGTCTCAAAACAAAAAAAAAAAAACAAAGCCCGGTGTGGTGGCTTAAGGCAGAAGAATCACCATGAGTTGAAGGCCAGCCTGGGCTACCTAGTGAGATCCTGTCTCAAAAAAAAGAAAGGAAGGAAGGAAGGAAGGAGAGAAAGAAAGAAAGAAAGAATATAGTTAAGTGGTAGAGGGTTTGCCTAGAATGTGTGAGGCCCTGAGTTCTATCCCCAGCACCACACACACAGACGTGCCCCAGGCTCCTAACTTTGGAGGCCCTTTCTTTTCTTTTTCTTTTTCTTTCTTTCTTTTTTTTTTTTTGTACTGAGGATCAGACTGGGGACCTTGCACTTTTTCAAGGGAGGCATGAGATGCCCCTGAGCTAAATCCCCAGCCCCTGGAGTTCCTTTCTGATGCTCAGGGATCAACAGGAATGAGTCCCAGTCCCTGTGGCAGGAAGTGAGAAATGGGTAAATGAGAACCAGTCAACAAGGCCTCTCTCTATGGGCTTTCTTTTGTCTGTCTCCCTTATTCCCTTCCTCATACCAGGTCCTTGTCTCAGCCTCTGCTTCTTCCCCCTCACAATCCAAAGACACCCTCCCAAATCCCCAGGCCCTCTCTAATTAGCCACAATGAGGCTTCCCTGTTTCCCACTCCTTCCTTGCTCTCTCACACTTGTTTCACTGTGCTGCTTCCCCCTCCTTCCTGGGGAGACTTTTACATCAGTCAGAGCCCAGCTCACTTGTGACTTTCTCTTTGAAACTTTCCTTTCCCCGGGTCCAGTTAGGCATGATTGCCTACAGCAGCCATACCTTAATCTCAGCGAGGGAGGGAACCTCCCCTCCATATGGAATTGGGCAAACTATGGGTTGTTATTAGGCAACTATGGGTTAACTAGGCAACTATGTTCCTGGTAGAACGTACCTGAGTAGCCATGACAACTTTTGTAATCTGTCACCAAAAGAGTGTAACAGACTCAGAAAGTTCAGCCAGAACTCTGTTCTCCCCCTACATACACACCTGGGTTGGGGATTTAGCTCAGTAATTCCACTGCCTGCCTCGCAAGCACAAGGTCCCAAGTTCGGTCTCCTGTACCAGGTAAAAAAAAAAAAAAAAAAAAAATTCCACACCTACTGCTTTGCTTTGTGTAAATCCTCCTTGAAATACACTCCAGTGAAAGTTAGACTTGTAGATGTAAAAAGAAGTAATAAAGAAGAGCAAACTTCTATTTGGGGCTCCCAAGACAGAGGAAAGTCATTTGCCAAGCTATCAGCATTAAAAGCCACTTTTTGCTCCTATCTTCCTGTTAAGAGTAGTCTGTTTGCGGTCCTCAGTTTCCTGCTTCACCAGCACTGGTCACTCTGTAATAAACTCCATAGCTGTTAAGCCTCCCTGGACTATAAGGATCAGATACTCCTGGCCAGCTGACACTGTTTATTCCTTTGACTGCCCCATTACCTAAGGAGGTGTAGAGCAGAGTCAGTGCCTAGTACTTTCTGCTGAGGGAATGAATGAATAATGAACAAGTTAGTGAAAGTGTATTACTCATCTAGACTCTTTGGACGTCAAAAACATCTCAAAACAGAAACATTCTTATCCCGTGAGTAGAGTGGGAAGACACCTTCGAAGGCCAAGCTGCTAGGAACTCTTATCTTTAAAAGAAATCCTTTGCATTAAGAAGGGGGCATCGCCAGGAATTTAGCTCAGCGGTTTGGTGGCCTGCCTTGCACAAGGACCTGAGTTCAAATCCGGGCACCAAAAAACAAAAAAAAAAGAATGGGGCATCTAACCAGGGATTTAGCAGCGTGCCTGCCTCAAAAGCATCAAAAAATGAAGTTTGGCTCTCAGTCATTCACACTTCCTTTCTCCTTGCTTTCCTCCTTGTTATCTGAGTTCAGAAGGAAAGGGCTGGGTGGGGGAAGAGAATGGAAGCAGAGAGCAGTCAGGAGATGGAGGCTACCTCTGGGGAGTGGGGCTGGGATCTGAGTGCTCAGGGTGTAAACACAGAAGTCAAACTCCTCCCTCTGAGTACCTTGTTCACAGGCTTTACTTTCCTAAGGCAAGGGTTCTCCTGGCCACAGATGAGAATTAGCTGGGCGAGCTAGTCAGACTAGTTTTGCGCCTCCTCCAGTATCAGTTCTCTCAGAATCTTGGGCCTGGGGCCCCACATCCAGATTTTACTTATTTCTAGCTTTATTGAGACATAATACAATAAAATTCATTTGAATGTATAATTTGATACATTTTGGTAATTGCAAACAGTTATGTAATCTCTACAGTAATCAAGATACAGAACAATCCTGGTACTGTGGCCTTCCTCCTTACTCTCTTGTAGTTAATCCTTTACTTCAACTCCCAGCCCCAGGCAACCACAGTTTTCTAGAATTTCTGTTGATATAATTTTGTTTTTTCCAGGATTTTATATATTTATTTATTTTTACGAAGTCTCACTGTGTAGTCCAAGCTGGCCTTGAACTTGCTGTGGCATCCAGGCTGGACTCAAACTTGATATCCCCTGACTCAGTCTCCCAAGTGCTGTGATTATAGGTGTATGGCACCCGTGCCGTGTGTGTCTTTTTTAGAATTATTACGAAGGAATGTAGTTAGCTCAATTGATCACTTAATACAATGTGTTTGGTTTTCATCTACATTGCTATATGTATTCATTTATTTATTTGGTTTTGGGGTTACTGAGACTTGAACCCAGAGCCTCACAAGTTTTACGCAAGCACTGGACCACTGAGCCACATCCTCCACCCTGATAATTGTATTTATAATACTTTTTCCAGTTTCCCTCTCCCCAGGGTCAGGAATAGGTATTTAAATATACTTTATTTCAACCTTTATTATAATGTGCTGGAAGTATTATCATCCTCTTGCAGATAAATTAATTGCTGTTGATGAGATTAAGAGAGTCATCAGAGCTTATATAATTCTTTTCTTTTTATTGCTGTAGTGCACTCCATCATATGAATATATTTACTTGTTTACCTGTTTTCTGGTATCATGAACATTTGGGTTATCTTTGGTTTTCTTTTGAACATATTTTCAGGCCAGGGATTAAGTTCAGTGGTACTGGGGCCTGTCTTGCAAGCGCAAAGTGCCAACTTCGATCCCTGGTACCAAAAACAAAACAAAACAAAACAAAAATGTATTTTCAATTCTATCTCTTCTCTTCTCCCAAAAAGAGGAGCAGAACTGCTGGATTCAACAGCAATTGTATGCCTAACTTTATAAGATACTTTCATACCATGTTTTTTGAGGCAGGGTCCCACTATATAGTTCAGGGTGGTCTTGAATTCACAATGTAGCTCAGACTGGCTTCGAACTCATGGCAATCCTCTTGTCTCAACCTCCCAAGTGCAGGGACTATCATGTGCCATGGCACCTGTCAGCCTGCTTCAGCCTCTAGAGTTCTGGATCACAGGTGTACACAACCAAGCCTGGCCATGCTGTTTTCCAAGCTGTACCATTTTCAATTGCTATCAGTAATGTATGAGAGTCTCATCACTCCACATACTTTATCAAAACCCAGTTTCAGCAGACTTCTCATTTTAGCCAGTTTAGTAGATATGTATAATGCTATTTTATTGTGCCTTTAGTTTGTCTTTTCCTGATAATTAATGATGTTTAACAAATCTTTTAATGCACTTGTTGACCTTTGTATCTCTTCTTTTTTAAAGTGTTCTGTTTACATCTTTAGTCTATCTTTTATTGAATGTCTTTTTATAGTGGGTTGTTTTTTGTTTTTTTTTTTTTTGGTACCGGGGATTGAACTTGGGTCCTTGCACTTGTAAGGCAGGCCACCGAACCGCTAAGCTAAATCCCCGGCCCTATAGTGGGGTTTTAATAGTTATTTATATTCTTTTTGCCCTTTGTCAGATTTGTTTTGTAAATAATCTCCTCATCTTGGCTTGCTTACTTACTTTTTTTTTTGGAGACAGGGTCTTGCTATGTAGTCCAGGCTGGCCTCGAATTCATGGCAATCCTTTGTCTCAACCTTCTGAGTGCTGGGATTATCTGTGCCACTGTGCCACCACACCTGTCATCTTTCCATTTTTTCATCTGTGACTTTGTGTGTGTGTGTGTGTGTGTGTGTGTACATGCACTGAGGACTGAACCCAGGGCCTTTACAATGCGCTACATCCCCAACCCCTTTTTTATTTTCAGTTTTGAGGTAGGGTCTGGCTCAGTCACTAAAGTGCTCAGGCTGAGCTCAAACTTGCAATCTTCCTGCCTCAGGCTCCCAGAGTGCTGGGGATTAGTCATCATGTCCTACTTCTTATCTATAACTTTTGAATAATGACTTTTAAAAAATTGCAGTAAGCGTATGTTCTTAATCTTTTCATAATTTGAATGTCTTGTGTTCTATTTTAAAAGTTCAAAGCCAATCTGGGTAACCTAGTGAGACCCTTTCTTAAGATTTAAAAAATCTATGTCCTCTACCCCCAAAAAAGAGCTGAGAATGCAGCTTAGTGCAAGGCTGTGGTGTTCCATCCCCAGCACTGAAAAAAAAAGTCTTAGTTCTTACGTTTGGGCCTGTAGTCTGCTTTCAGTCTGTTTTGGGGTATGGTATAAAGTGGGGATAAATTTTTTTCCATATAGATATCCAGTTCTTGCAATACTGGGAAGTAAAAAAACTATTTTCCTCACCAATTTTCTGCTTTGATAGCTTTGTCAAAAACCAGTGGACCATAAAAATATAGGCCTATTTCTGGAGCCTCTTTTGTACCTTGGCAACTCCACATTATCTTGATTACTAAAGTTTTATAGTAGGTCTTGAATTAGGTACTGTAAATCCTCTAATCATCCTACTTTTTTTTTTGGTACCAGGGATTGAACTCGGGTCCTTGCGCTTGCAAGGCAGGCCACCGAACCACTGAGCTAAATCCCATCAGTGGTTCGGTGGCCTGCCTTGCAAGCGCAAGGACCCGAGTTCAATCCCCAGTATCAAAAAAAATAAAAAACAAAAATGTGTTTCTATGTTATTGTCTTTTGATACACTTCATTCAGATGCTGGCTGAAAATTTCCCTTCCCCCCCAGGTTACTACCCACAGTTCTGCCCAGCAGAATGCAAATTTGGGGCTCATGCAGCCCTGCTTCTCAGGGCTTTTTTATTCGGTGCTAGGGATTGAACCAAGGGCCTTGCAAATACTAGGCAAGCACTCTACCACTAAGTTACATTTTTAACCTTCTTCCTTAGGTTTGACAATTTGTTAGATGGACTCACAGAACCCAGAAAAATACTATATTTACAACTTAGTACAAAGGATATAAATAAATAGCCAGTGATGTGGTAGCCAAAACAAGGGTTGCAAGTGGCTTCTGTACCTAAGAGTAGGAAGTCACTCTCTTGGATGTGTCCACTCATGCAGAAGCTCTCAGAACCCTTTCACTGAGGGATTTTTATGAAGATTTCAATATGTAGGCATGACTGATTAAATCACTGGTCACTGTTTGTTGTTTTGTTTTGTTTTGTTTTGTTTTGTGTTGTACCAGGATCGAACTCAGGACCTTGCACTTGCCAGGCAGGCACAGTGCCACTGAGCTAAATACCCAGCCCAGTCACTGGTTATTATATAAAATCTCCAGGCCCTCCCCTCTCTGGAGGTGGAGATGTGGAGAGATGGGGTTCTAACCTCTAATCTGTGTTGGATTTTCTGGCCACTACTCCCCACGGAGAAGATAACTAGCCCAGCCTTACAGCCCTGTGTGTCATCTCATTAACATAGAATGGACAGTAAGCTCCAAGGGTTTTAGGAATGCTGTACCAGGAACTAAGGACAGAGATCAAATATTTATTTTTCATTATGCCTTGGGTGTGGATCTTTTTCTCTTTAATGTCTCCCTGGCATTTTTTATATAGATGTAACATGACTTACTTAGT